GGTGGTAGCTCTGTCTTGCCTTCTGTCCATGAGTGAAAGAGTCTCCAGATGTTGTTCATTGTACCCATATAAAAGTGGTACTTCTCTTCTTAAACTGGCCCAAGCCAACCACAGTTTTAAGGTATGTAAATTTGTAGCAGATGGTCGGTCACCTGTTATCTTGGAGGCAAAGTCAGCTGAAGTGTCATAGGTGTGATTGGAGGAACTAAGGCGCACAAGTGCCCCCTCCCCTCAGCCAGCTTCCAGCAGTCATTTTTCTCCTAGCATTTGCTCTTGATTCTTTAGCAAGGTAGAAGCAGAAGAGCCGAGTGCCCTATTTTATTTGTGAAAGCAGAGAGTATGGTTTTGTGCTCTTCCATTTTAACAGGATTCTGAAATGTGTTTTTCCTTTAGCTGCATTGGTACCTTTTTCCCTTCTTGCCACATTCAGAAAAGAATGAGGAAGCTGCGCCAGGCCTTTGCACCTTCTTTGCCCGGCTCCCCATACTGGTCAGTTTCAACCACTTCCCCACCCTGTCCCTGAAGCAAGAGAGGTGGCTGCCAAGTACCGCGGCTGGACATTTCGGTTCTCCTGCTTGAGGGGAGCCAGGAAGCGGCCTCATCCAGCAGGGTCAGCCTCCCCAGCACACCCCCCACCCCCCGGGGCTATTCCTGCCCTGGAGTCTCATCTTCTGTCTTTCTTCAACATCTTACTCTTTCAACTCAAGTCCTTTAACTCAGAAGCAGATGGCCATTTCCCCCATTCCTATCCTTGATTGCTTTCCGTAATGGATCAGGACCGGTGATTTTGTACTTTCAGAAAAGGAGTGGCTGAAATGACCCGGTGGGGGGAGAATCCAGCACTTCGAAAGCCCAGGCGGAGTCTGCGTTGGCTCTCCAGTTCAGGAGCAGTGTTTTAATGGTGGCTGCTGGCCTGCAGGATCTTGGTGGTTCTATGTGGCCCAGACCAGTGCAGGGGAATCATAGAGTTAACCTTAGAGGTCATCTTAGCCCAAGCTCCTTGCTCAGTGCAGGAGCCACAACAGCATCTCTGACAGATATTCAGCCTCTGTTTGAAGACCTCTAGTGGAGAAGTCACCACTTCATGAAGCCGCCTGTTCCGCTGGCTGACCACTTGTACAGTTGGGAAGTTCCTTCTAAAGTCTAGCCAGAACCTCCTTCCTTGTAGTTTTATCCCACTGGTTTTGGTCCTGCCCTGTACAGTGACAAGAATAATTCCGCTCTTCCATGTGACGGTCCTTCACACATCTGAAGACTGCTATAGTATCTCCTCTCAGTCATCTCTTTGCAGGCCCACATCCTTTAACCAGTTCTCACAGGGCTTGGTTTCCAGACCTTTCACCATCTTGACAGCCTCTTCAGAATTGTGCCTTTCATTTTCCTACCCAGATGTAGAATTTCACATTTTTCCCTATTAAATTACATCACATTCATTTCAACCCACTGCTCAGGCCAGATTTTTGAACCTTTTCTCTCTCATCTGAAGTATTAGCCACCTGTCCTGCTTTTCCTCTCATCTTTATTCAAGGCCTTGTGGCTCTTCCCTTGAGACTTCCCTCCAGGCTGAAGTGGGTGCAGTCATTCAGCCAACTATGAAGGTATCTAACAGCATCATCTAGACTTTTTTTTTAATCTATTCAGTTGTGTCGATTCTCGGAAACTGCCTGGACAAGTCTCTGAAGTTTTCTTGGCAAGGTTTTTCAGAAGTGGTTTGCCATTGCCTTCTTCCTAGGGCTGAGGGAAAGTGACTGGCCCATGGTCTCCCAGTTTCTAGCCTGATGCTTTAACCATTACACCAAACTGGCTCTCCATCTAGCCTATATTTTATCACTTTTTGAAGGAGTATCCCAAGGCAGTCTGATGAAGGCCTTGCTGAGGTCCAGGTACACTATGTCTAGTGCATTTCCCTGATCTACTAAGCTGGTAATTCTATCAAAGAAGGGGTTCAGGTTAGTCTGGCACAAACTGATCAACCCATGCTGGCTCCTGTTAACTGCAGCAGGCTTATCCAAGGGCTTGTAAACATGTGCTTGATCATCTCTTCAAAGGCCTTGCCCACTACAAGCTGACTGGTCTGTAATTTCCCTGGTCCTCCTCTTTCCCTTTATGGAGATGATGTTTGCTCTCCTCCGCTCTTCAGGGAACTCACTAGCCTGCCAGGAGTTCTCACAGATTACAGGAAGTGGCTCTCATCACGCCTGTAAATGCCAGCCCTATAAGGTAGACCAGACTAAGAAAGAGGTATACAAAGTCTTGCAAGCCTGAGTGTGCTTTCTTTCCTGGCTACTAAATGGGTCCTGAGAGCCAGTCATAAATCCCTCTCGAATGCCAGGCAACAGATGTTTCTGGCTTGAATGAGTTGCTTAATCTGCATCCTCTTTTCCAGGCTGGCTTGCTACCTTCAGACATTGGGAACCCAATTCAGCATGGGAAGAGCCTGGGAGGCCCCAGGCTCCTCCCAGTGCCCTTTCTTTCTCAAATGGACAGAGGCTGCAGAACCAGTATCTCCTGGGATCCCTTGTTTGGGTCTGGAGCTCATGCAATGCAAGGAGAAATCCCTGAGTTCAGTTGTGGGAGAGATTTCTGCTCTCTGTTAGTTTCAGGAGTTGTTAGCCAGCCTGCAATCTCCTAAATATGCTGTTTTGTTTTGTTTTGTTTTGTTTTGTTTTGTTTTGTTTTGT